TTGCTTCTAGATGGGGGTGGGGGACTGTGGAGAAAGTTGTCCAGTGATAAGCACATCCTGAATGTAAGTCAGAGGTTCGCAGCAGATGCACCTTGTCACTCTGCCATCCTCTGGGGCTGGCTGAAGCGAATGACCCATTTTATTTTCTAGAGCATCGTTTACCCAGTTTCCTACTCAGCCCTGTGTGTAAATACCTTCACTCTGTTTTTAAAGTAAGCGGCCCCGTGAGAACTCAGTGAAACCTGAGGTTCTTCATGCCCCAAATCTCCTCTTCCCTCTCTTCCTCCTTGCGATCATCAGACTCCAGTCCCTCCATGCTGGATGCTGGGGAGCGAGGTCACACGGCCACTCCCCAGCAAATCAGGAGACCAGATGGAGGGCTGGGGGCTCGGAGACCTCAGGCAGCAGCCTGCAGGACTCTGTAGAGTGCTTCTTAAGAAGTGAGGTCACCATCAAACCTCTTTCTTTTCAAGGTAGCTGGAGACTGGATTCTGAGCTTGTTGGTTTTTAGAGATTTTATTTTTACTAGTTGATCTGTTGACAGTTCTCAACTTTTGGATGGGAAGCGGAGGTGGGGTGTCTCTTCCCCTCCCCTGCCCTTCCAAGCTGTGTGCATGTCCTGGGGGGGCCTGCTCTGTCCAGGCAGGTGCCCGGCTCCCCTCCCCAATGCTGGGCCGGGCTCATGCCCTAGCGGTGTTCCCTTGGCCCATGGCCCGAGAGGGAGGTGCTGCTCCCTGTGGCACCTCTAATGCACGGCCTGGTGCACGGCCTGGCTGGGAAGGGGCGCTGGTGAGGGGCGAGGGGCAGCAGGAAAGTCCCTCCCGCATCCCAGCCGGATCATTACGCTGTCCACCACCTGCATTTGGCTTTTTTCTTAAACTTTTGACCGCTTTTTAAAGTCGCACTCCCCTCATCTCTCTTAGCAAGGGAAAAAGCGGGTGTTATCTCTGAGGAATGAATATTGTAAGCAGCGCTCTGAATAAGGTGGGTTGAGTTTTCTAGGAAAAAAATGGAGGAAAGAGGCATGGAGAAGATTGTAAACTAAACTGAGCTAATATTTATGCATTGGCCCTGTGCGATCTGGGCAGCTTTGCTGAGACAGCACATGATCCTTTCTGATGAGGACACTACTGAATTCTGCATGGTTGCCACGTTGAAGGCAACGGCACTTGTTCACGAGTGACAGTGACCGAACACAATTCCTGGAGAGGTTGAAGGGGTAAACGAAACAAAACATAAACACCCGTTTAAATGCTTCTGTGTCAGAAGGGTTCCCCCCTCTGTCCCAGAGCTCAGCTCCCTCCTGCGCCGCACTGGATGAGCAGCCGCTGAGACTTACGGTGTCTTTGAGACTTACGGTGTCACCGGCTGCTCACCTCTCTTCATGTGTGTTTAGAGCTGAGTCAGTCACTAATTCCCTAACGCCCAAAATCTTAGAGTTGAAGGGTACTATCGTGCACATACATGACCTGGAAAATGCTACTTTAGATCTTTTGCTATTTAATTAGTAGTTCTTGTTTCCCAGAGAAGTTCCCTCCCTTTGAAATTAATATATAATGTGTAAGTTCTGTGTTGAGTCACTGAGTGAGCTGTGAAGGATCCTAGGCCGAAGTGGAGATGGAGACCAGGGCGTAGGTTTTAGCTCATGTGATTTCCCTCTGAGGTAACAAACTAAGCTCATGCATCTAAAAACGGAGTCCTTAGAGAGCAATAAAAACTGCACCGGTGAATGTTCTGGGGTTTTTTTTTTTTTTTTTGGAGGGGGGTAGATTTTGCTTTTACCTGCTTCAGAAGGAAAGGGAGAGGAGAGCTCTAATTTTATAAATTAAATTAATAAATCCCAGAATTGTGCTTTTCTTTTTTCATTTTCCTTCACACCCTACTGCTAAGCTTCATTCAGTGCTGATGTCATGTCCACACTCAGGCTGAATGTTCGGGCTGAAGCAGCTTTGCAGCCCTCAGACAGTCCGTGCTGGTTGCGGTTGGGGTGAGGGGACATTCTAGGCCTGGAGTTGCTGATGCCCACCATGCTAGGTCCTGGGTCCAGGCTGAGGACAGGGCTAGGTGGCTGGCCCTATTGCCCAGGAGCTTCCTCCAGAGCCAGACCCCCACTGGAGCTCCACGGGCGCCTGGCAGGCCCAGCTCCGAGCGATGGTCTGCTGGGGTGGCCACAGACCAGCCTGTCTCTGGGCTCAGGCCCAGGCCCAGGGGCCATGGGATGTCCTGCCCATTTTCCCGAGGGCTGCATGCACTGTCTCATTGCCTTCCCATGCATGCATCCTGGCTGTGCCTGGGGAGTGGAGTCTGGGTTGAGGGCCTTCCCCAAAGCCCGCTCACCAGCAGACATTTCTGATATTGTGGCGAGCTGGGTGGAGGGTTGTGGTTCTCTCGGCTCCCTCTGGGGAGTTCCAGAGGCTTGTATGATGTCTGTGGCATTTCATGGTGCCTTTATGGAGCTACCAGCACCTAGGGACTTTCTGGCTTCTCTCTTTGGGGTCTTTCTGTTAGCGTCATAAGCATGAGCACCCGCTGAACACAAGTGAGCAGACGCCAGAGAGAGACTTAGTTGGTCGGCAGGGAAAGCGTTTGGTAGATTTGAGGACATGGTGTGTTCCTCCAAACGAAGGCTTGAGGAGGGTTTGAAATGACTGCTCACTGATAAGACTTTTAACCCCGAGAAAGATAGGAAGCTGGGTGTTGGAATCTCTGTGGCAGCATGCTGGAGGCACAGCCCCACGTGAGGTGCTTTGAAGGTCCCTGTCCCCAAGAAGTACAGGGCCTGGTTGAGATGAGCTCTGAAGATGTAAACCACTAAATAATAACAAAACAACAAAGTAAGCAGCACTTTCTTATAGAAAACAATGCAGACATCATTGATCAACTCTGAAAACCTCCACCTTGTCTGTCCCTGTTTCTTCCCTTCTGTGCACCATAGCATGAGAACCTTGCCTCACACTAACATGGTCCCGGTTACTGAGCATCAAAGCAGAGCTGAAGAAAAAGTACTGGCTGGACCAGCCACACGTTGCACATGTGGTTGGACCAGCCACGCATTACACTCTCGTGCAACTTGAGAGATGTCATGAGGCCTCCTGTGACTACCAATTTGTGTCAGATTTGGGGTGAAGAATAAGTGACTTTTTCTGCATGTTGCTTTGTCTCTGCCCGAGACACTTATAGGACAAGCCAAATATAACCTTTTCAGCCCTGCTGATTTTCATCTGAATTGTTCACCCCCATGCATAAGCCTGTGCTGCGAATCTCTCACCAACAGCACGCTGCATGCAGTCCCCGGAATGTGGCACTCAGTGCTCGACGGTGTGACATGGCTTCTAACCCTCCTGCAGTGTAGCTGGGCTCAGGGTAAAATGGTGAGCCTGAAACACCTGCCTGGCTTCTTTCTGGAAACAGCATGTCCCTGGCCCACATGCCTGCCCCCTTCTCTAGTGAGCCAGCCCCCAGCAAAGGTGAGCCGCTCCAGAGCACCTTGCGCCTGGGCGCAGGACTGGCCACCACTGACTCGGGCTCTGATTTTGTCCCATAACCCTGCTGTCGGGCTGTCAGGGTGGATGCAGACATTAGACTCCATAGTCTTGCATATCACAAAAATACAGGCACAGTTTTGTGTAAAAGATATCACACCGTGATCTGCTTGATTGAGTGGGATGGACATACATGAATCAAGTTTTATTATGAGCATTTCCTGCTTATTAATTCAGGGGAAGTGATGGTATTCTTACCACCCGCTCTGGAAATAAACTGACAAGAGCACTTTCAGGGATCCTAGGAAGCTACCAGAGAAGGTGACATCAATCAGCAGCAGCACACTCCTTTAAAATAATTGAGTTGTTTTAAAATTTTAGCTTTGTAATGACAAATTCACCTGGAGCTTTCTTTTCTCATTAACTTTTCAGTTTCTTAAGCTTTTGCAAAAGTCTTCGGACAGAAGTCAACTGTGAATGAGACACTGAAATGCACTAAATTGTATTGAATTAAACTGGGGTTACTTGACACCATGAAAAAATGCATCCGATGCCCTTGTATTTATTGTCTCAGAGTTGTACGTGTGACAATCAAATGTGACTTTCCTGAAAACCAGGAAATTCAACTGGCTTCTTAACCATAAAGACCGCCCGCAAGTACTGTAACTGTAAATGAAAATATCTCTCTGGAAAATCCACACAAACCATTGACTCGAGTGCATGTGGCAGACATTTGGGGTTCTTTTCTGTTGTGGAAAACTTGCTATGCCTGATGGGTGGCCAGTTTCCAAGGGATACGT